GGAAAGAATCCCAGTCAGCTTTAAGGTAGTTGTAAGATGTACAATAAAAAGGGGATTCTGATGATAAAGAAGAATGAGATAATAGTTTTAGAGAGAGCAAAACATGATCGGAGGCACCTAAGGGTGAGTGTGGAGAAACTGAGCACTAACAAGGATCAGAAAAAAGACATAAGTCGAGTAAAGAAGGTAAATGATTCGGGTTATCTGAAAAACGAGTTGGAAAGTTGACTATTTGAGTTAGGGATTGAGAAAGGCAAAAGTTGTGGGCTTTAATGCCTGCAGAGTCACTGACACTAGAGTCAAACCATTCAGTGTGATGAACATTCAAGTTACCAATAACAACAATATTGGCTGATGGATAAAGAGAGAACGCTTGGTTAATACGATCAGAAATAAAATCAAGAAGAGTGCAGTCTTGAGATGAGGGAGAGCAATATAGAACAAAGAGAAAGGTGATAAAGTGAAGTGGTGCTAAACGAAAGCACATAAAAGAGTAGTCTGTGGATTCAAACCTAGTTTCCCGACAAATGGGTGAATTCTTACGAATGTAAATGCCCAAGCCAAGCATGTGACTATTGGAGTCTTTACAAATTAAAGGAAGATAACCATTAACACTAAGATCACAAGATGAGACAGCTGAACTCAAATTAGTCTCACAAAGAGCAAGTAGGTCTGTTGAACTTTGCAAGAGATAAGACTCAACAGAACTTCGAAGACCACGAATATTGGTGAATGATAGGTTTAACGAGCTTGGTGATGACTGTGGTTTTTTGTGATTTATAGTTTTTGTTATTTTATTCATTTTTAAATTTATTAAAGAACTTGACTCGAAATATAGATAGTACTCAGTACACAGTTTTATAGCCCAAGCAATTGCTTCCTATTAATAAACCCTAAGCCGTAACAAAGGGCTCTAATGTGACCTTGACAATGCACACCAAAAGTACAAACAGGGACACCATCTATGCGCAACATGGCACTGTTAGTACTTTGATATTTTTCAGCTGTTGATGGAATCAGCCTCTCTGAGAGCTACCACAGAGTTTGGGAAACCTGACTACCAGCCGGCCTCAGAACCATAAAATTGAGTTTTAGAGCTATATCCTCATTTGGAGATAATAGAATGAGTTGCCTTATCATGAAAACAGAAACACAAGCAAAACCCAAGCATCGAGTCAAGAAGATCCAGCCTTCAACATCCTAAACTGGAAACAATGTATTAAAAATATATCTGCACCAGCCTAATAGATGAAGAAGGGGTGCGAGGCTGGTCAACAGATAGAATCTGTTTACGCCTTAAGTCTTTTCCTAGGAGGCCTTCTACAAGACAGCAGCTGGATGCATGTAACATCTGCCCAAGATGAGTATTTTTATCGAGACACCATCTCTGGCCTTTACTCAACCAAGAGCCCCAAGGGATTTTTTTTTTGTCAGAGTTTGCATCTCCTAGCCTTTGCCTAAAAAGGCGTATCCTACAAGGCAGCAGAACATGAAGCAGATTGTACTGGGTTACATGCTAACATTAGCAGGATAAACCTGACCTGACCTTGCAGTAGCAGGATAAATCTGACCTGACCTTAACAACTCGAGAAGTGTGTGTGTGGGGGGTGGGGTGAAGTGTGTGTGTGGGGGTGAGGGGTGGGTGGGGAAACTCGAGAAGTGTGTGCGGGGGTGAGGGGTGTGTGTGTGTGGCACAGTCATCAATTTGTGAAAAAAGTCCTCTATATCAAGATTTTTCTTAACAAAAAAAAAAAGAAAAAGAAAGGATCCTCAAAAAAAAGGGAGGGGGAAGGGCATAGTCTCCATGGTGTGGTCGGCTCTGGATTCTGCCTCATTAATAAAACGGGGATGGGTATTGTCAGCATACCGTTTAAATGATTTTACATATATTGGTGGTGTAAGATATTGTGCCTGTATTACAGCTTTTTTTTCATATTATTGCAGAATACTCTGTGAAACTACTACCATTAATGGTAAACCTATAGGACCAGCATCTTTTAATGAGTGTATGTTGTTTTCATATAAAAAAATAACCATTTGAAAAACACAAATCTAAAAGTATTTTTATTTCAAAAATCAATAATCTTAAATTGAAGACAGGACTAATACGAAGTTGTTCTAATAAAATATCTGTTTATTCTTCAACTGGTATTGAAGGGTAAAGATTAGTAATATCGAAAGAAACTTAAAATTCACCAAGATCAATATACCATGATTAAGCACATTCAACTTTTTTTTTTTAATTTTTAAGTTTTGTTTTGTTGAGATTGAGGTAGGTTGAATGAGATTTATTACATAATTCAATAATTATTATTCAACGTCAATTTGCGTACTTTGATGATACCAAATAATCTTGGATGAGTGGCTTCACTTGGATAAATTGATCTATATTCATTTTTTGTAAACTTTGTATTCAGATTTAGCAAATTATTCTGAACTTTGCGAGTTTTTAAGTTTGATCATAGTTTAGATTTTCTAAGTTGTTCTTTAATTATTTTAAGATCATTGCTTTTATTAATTCGAACAAAGCCTGATCCTTTATCAAACGAAAAAATACTATTTGTGTTGCTAGACTTAAGTTCTGTGAAAGCTGTAAACTGATCCTTACCTAAATTTGTAGAAAATGTTTATGCATTTTTAAAAGTAGTAAGTACATCTTGTCTAAGTTTGTTTGTATCAGTATTTTTGTTTGAATATTTTAACTTTAAAGCTGCTGTTTCAGTTATACTTGTTACATCCATATATGAATGTAACAAGTATAACTGAAACAACAAATACGAACAAAGTTAGGTCCTAAATTTTTTGTGATGTGTTGGGATATTATCAGCAAATTAATTGTTACTTCTTTTAAGAACTTGTATTTTCTTTGATTGTCGTTACCTTTTTACTTACATTCCTTTAATAATAAATCAAATTTATTTTTTGCTTATTTCTCAATCGCAAAAACATATATTTGTAGGATTTATCTGTAATGTTTGTAATTTTTTTTAAATCTTCATTGTTTCCACACAATTTTATGAGTTCATCCTATTTTTTAATTAAAATTATGTTGTTGAAATATCGTTTTTTTTTGCTAGCTTCTGGGTATAAAGAACTTTTTTAATTTTTATCATTAAAATTTTACTAAATTTACTATTCAGTGGATTTTTTATACGAAGAAATTTTAATTTGATACAGTGTTTAACACATCATTGAAGAGATATCCTTGGATTTTTTTATTTTACTGCGTTTTTCTTTGCGTTTTTTAATTCGATGATGCTAGGATATAAGCCAATACAATAGTTAGCAACAATATAATTTTATATCTAAAAGTATATAATATTATATCTAAAAGTTAACATTTTAGATAAGTTTTTATTTAATTAAATCAACTTAAAACTTCGCTTTATAGTATATTAACTTATAAATTTCTTCAAAGTATAATACAATATTTCTAGTTCATTATGTAAATCTTTTTTTTCTCCAAGTTTCAAAATTACGGATAGTTCTAGTCGACTTGTATATATGGGCTAACCCTGATATATCGACTTACATATATATATAAATTGATATATACATATAGTTACCATAGCTACCTAAGATATATAATACTGCTCTTCCTCCTACTACTACAACTAAAAATTATAAGGTCCTATTTATGTTTTGTTAAAAAAAAAACACACCCAAAACTAGTCCTTAAAATACCCTTTACTGTTATGGAACCCTTTAGGCTCACTAAATCCATTTTAAGGCGGACAGAGACTTGAAAAGTTGCAGTTTATATGAACTAGAAAGGCATGAAAATAGGAGTGTTATTTTTAGGTACTAGGAAATCATATAAGAAAGCCGTCGTTAAAATTTTTAATTTTCAAGACCTAAAAATTTGTTAAATCCATATAATATGGCTCATAATATGATATCGGTAACAAAAAAGTTTATATTATAAATTTATGTTACCAATTTTAATTATTTTTATTTTCCAGAAATATCTTTAATAATTTACCATATGCGTTTCAAGCCGTTTTTAAATTTATTTACAAGTTTTAGATATACAACTTCTGTTTAATTTTTTACGATTTTTAAATTCCTTTGTATTCCAGGGCCAATTTTCAACAATTGGAAAATTAGCGTTGTAACCGAAAAGGCCTAGTGGATAACCTTAATAAAATACATGACTCGATTGTTTCTAATAGAGTAACAGTATTTTTTTGGAACAAAACTATGTTGTTCATTTATTTGATTAAATAGTGAACACATAGAACTGCATCATTGTATTCATTCTTTCCCGCACAATATTCTATTATTTAACTTTGTACCTAAGTTACAGATACCAAAACGATCTTAAGACGAAACCAATTTGTCTTCTTTTTTAAAAACTAGAGTTATATTTGTTAATAACTTTTTAATAACGATAACTTTAGAATGTCATTTGAGCATTATTCATTGAAAATTACTAAGATTGAGCCATACTGCTTGAGCATTATTTTACGTACTGTTGGGTGAACTTCATCAACGCATCTGGTTTTATTTACGTTTAAATTCTTCGATTTCAACATACCAGTGATATTTTAATTTCTAACGTGATACAAAATTTACTTTAATTTCTAACGTGATACAAAACATTTATATCATCGTATGCACCATTAAACATCATATCATAGTATGCTCCTTTATAAAACTCTTTCATAACCCAATCATTTGCATTTATCTCTTTAAAAAATTCTTTTCATAGTATAAGTAATGATAGTGACTAAGTGAAAAAAAAGTAAAAAGGTTTTCATAATATTAAGTTATAAAGTACAGTTTAAATAAAACTGATAAAAAGTATTTATTAGATATAAAATATATAAATAATACGATAAAACTTAGCTTGAATCTTTATAATCCATTTTTTTTTTTTTTTTTTTTTACAAATCTTGACATTTAATATATGTACACTATAATGTATTTGAAAATATTAAATATTAACTTTTTATATTATTTATATGTTAAACACGTTTCTGGGCATAAAAAACAAATAATTCAAAGTAGAAAACAAATAAATATTTTTAAACTAAAAGAAAGTGCTAAGAACGAATCGCAACGACTTCATTCAAGGAATTCATTTAAGACAAAAAATTTAATGACTCAAAAAATAAAAAACAGAGTTAGTAAACAAAATATTTACATTTTGAAATTTTGAAAAACTGAAAGTTGATTTAAAAAATCTTTTTTTAAATTTACATCTCGAACTTTTTTTTACATTTACATTTCGAACTTTATACAAAAGTACTCTTAAAACATTCAAGACTACAAATATTTAGCAGACTTCACAATGTTGAAGCTAATACAAAACTACGGAACATCATTTGACCTGAAAATCTTTTTTTTAATTTAAACTTAAATCTAATAAACTTTTGAAACTTCAAAATAATCGAAGAATCCGTAAAGCATGCATTTGTGCAAAACACAGTAATTAAAGAATGCGGTAAAGTTTAGAAAGGCTACAAAAAAATATCACGTAACTGCCATTAATGGTGGTAGCGATGGATGCATATTTTGATTGTCTATCATGATTTCTTCTTCATGATCGCTCTCTTCGTTAGAGGACTCGTTGTGAACATTATTTTGAGCAGCACGACTAGTACCAAGACCCTAGTGCATAAAAATCTTTTAACACGTGTTCAAAAAGTTTAAATTGAAAGCCAAAAATAAACTTATTTAAATAGTAAAGATTAAAGTTACCGCGTATATATTGAAGTATACCACGTATAAATTAAAGTATACCGCGTATAAATTAAAGTATACCGCGTATAAAATAAAGTATAACGTGTATAAATAAAGTATAACGCGTATAAATTAAAGGATAACATGTATAAATTAGGTCTGCTAAGTGATTTTATATAATATGTACTATATATTATTTTTCTTACATCATTAGTAGCACTGTCAGAAAGTAATGGTTGTGTAAGATCCTGATAATGATTACCAACACTTTCGTTAACCGGTAAATTGGCAAGACAAATAGCAGCAGTTATGATTACCAAACCTAAGCAAAGAGTTTTAATCTTTTGAATATCTTTTTAACAGTTGTATTACGTATATAAAAAAACTTTGTCTCAACTTTATAAAGCAATGGTTTTAAATACTGTACAAATATTTCAAAAGAATCACCTATTACGACTAGTACTATGACCCATGTAGCTGATAAGACAACACTTTTAGCAAACAAACAATCCATAAAAAATGATAGGAAGGGAACAGGAATCAATGTAGGGATAGCAACTAACACTCCTAAACAAAAATTAGTTCAAATTAATAAACAAATAGGAAACAGTTTTAAATAAAAGAGTTTAACAAAAATTGTATTCTACTACTTAGATTTGTGATCTGGTAAACAACTAATAATGTATGTTAACAACAACAATGCCAAAATATAAAAAGGGACAAACAGATTATGAAAAAAAAGTTATTTCTTTAAAACTAGAAACAAGAACACATGAATAAAAAGCAACACAAAAACAAAGACACAAGTAAAAAAAGGAACACAAAACACAAAGATATGAATAAAAAGAAACACAAAACACAAATATACTAGTAAAAAAAGAAACAAGAATAGACAAATAAAACGGAACGCAGAAAGACAAATAAACAATAACAAATATTTTAGCTTAAATTAAAGTTTATCTTGAAAGCTACTGATTTAAATGAGGGCATCTGTCTTAAATAACACTATCAAAGAATAACACAAAAATGTTAGTTTTATCTTTAAATATGCTGTATAAGGTTTTTTTGAGACCAATTATTTAAAAAAAAAAATTTCTGTCAATTTAACTAGATAGTGTTTTAAAATAGTGAAAAAAAAATTAATATTAATATTTTATATAAAGTAAGTGTTCCACAATGGAAGTCGATCCTAGAATTCACTTTTATATTGAATTTAAGAATAATAACATTGGGAAACAAACAAAAAAAACTTTTTTTAGATTCAATTAACAGATGAGGTTTTTCTAGATCAGATTTTTGAACTGATTAAGAAAATGGAATTCATTTTAATCCTATACATCCAGATTCTTCTAAAATTTTAAATTATGTTTTTTTTATCTTAAATCAGTTTTAAGCTATAGTTAAGCTATAGTTTTCGCACACTTTCAATTTCAAACACTCCTTTTTTAAATATCATAAATGTAAGTTTATATATATATTCAATTTACAGTAAAAAATAATGCAGAATTTAGATCCTATCTGTAATTTACTGCAGAATGTCTTTAATCTTGAGGTATTAATAGTATACTGAGTACTATCTATGCTTGAGTCAAGTTCTTTAATAAATTTAAAATGACTAAAGTACCAAAAACGATAAAACACAAAAAACCATTGTCATCACCAGGTTCTCTAAACCTTTCATTAACTAATAATCGTGGTCTTCGAAGTAATTTTTCTTCTGTTGAGTCTTATCTCTTGCAAAGTTCACCAGACTTACTTGCTCTTTGTGAGACTAATTTGAGCTCAGCTGTCTCATCTTGTAATCTTAGTGTTGATGGTCATCTTCCTTTAATTTGGAAAGACTCCAATAGTAACCAGCTTAGCCTGGGCATTTACATTCGTAAGAATCCACCCATTTGTTGTGAAATTAGGTTTAAATCCACAGGCTATTCTTTTATGTGCTTTTATTTAGCACCACTTCACTCTATCACCTTTCTCTTTGTTCTATATCGCTATCCTTCATCTCAAGTCTGCACTCTTTTTAATGTTATTTCTGATCAAATTGACCAAGCCCATTTGACTCTCTCTTTATCTTGGTTCTAGTATCAGTAACTCTGCTAGCGTTAAGGCCCTCAACTTTTGCCTTTCTCAATCTCTAACCCAAATAACCAACTTTCCAACACACCTTCCAGTGTTTAGTTTCTCCACATTCACCCTTAGATGCTTCTGACCACGGTTTGATCTCTTTAAAACTATTATCTCATTCTTTTTCATCAGAATCCCCCTATCATTGTACCTCATACAACTACTCTAAAGCTGACTAGGACTCTTTCTGTGATTTTCATCGTGATGGCCCTTGGGTAGAAATCTTTCGTCTTCCTGCTGAAAAATGTACTTCTTACATAACTTTGCGGATTCACACTGGCATGGAATCTTTTATTCCTTCTGGACGATTCCAGGTCAAGCCTCACACTTCTCCATGGTTTTCCTCGCATTGTGCTGCTGCAATTACCTATCAAAACCGTTACTTCCTTATCTATCAGCAAAACAATTCTCCAGAAAATAGACGTCTTTTTACTATTGCATTCTACCTGATATAGTCATTAAACAGGTTGATCCATTGTTTGACATTCGTATCACTCCAGTTTCCAGGCTTGGTTGGGGAGCAGGAGCGATTGCTCTTGATTACTGACCACGGAAATAAAATTTAGTTGCAAAAAACTGGCCAGGTTTTATTGTCGTTTCGAGAACATTTAAGTTTTTGTATGTAAAAAAAAATTTTTGTTTTACAAACATACATGGAAACATACATGGAAACATACATAAACTTTAATGTTCTCAAAATATCTTGGTACGGAAGAAAAAAAAGAATATTCGCGAACACAAAAAACCTGAACAAACTAATTCTATTGGTTCAAAAAAATACGATGACTAAGCGAAATAAAGTTCTAGAGTATTCTGTTAGAACGTGTTTAAAATTGTATTATTCACAATTTGTTATGTTTTGAGATTTCTAGCATAAAATGTTCTAAGAATATATTATCAAACGAACTTTAATACTATGGCTCATTCTCGTCACATCTGCAAAGCCGTAAATCTTTCAAACTTTTATTATTTGTTTACAAAAATAAATGTTTTATAATATGTATTTTTCAAATTGTCAAAATTTTGTAAGTCTATTATAAATTATAGATTTTATTAGTATATTCTTATTTTTATTTAAAAAGTATGTATTTTTTATATAAAAGTAATTTGGTGTATCTGTTTTTTATTCTATTATAATCTTTTAAAGCAATTTTTAAGATTTACTATGTAAACAAATCCTTTTAACACTAATTGCGTTTTCAATGAAGTTATTAATAATCATCAAAGTTAACAAAAATAAATTATGAAATAAATATATTAGAGTTTCTGGTTACTAAACACAAACATGCATACAAAGTAACTCGTGGATGAACAAGCACCGCACCTGAGGTCACAACAGAACACAAATATAGCAAGTTATTAGATAAAAAGAAAATTTTTTAGATATTGGTTCGCTAACTCTAATTATTTTCGCTTTAGTTGCCATTCTTAAAAGCTCATTATAGTTTTTTCTGCTTTGAATACTAATTAAATCACTCACTAAATATCATTAGGGATATTGTGAAGCAGTTTTGCTTCCTCGTCATAAAGTATTTTTAACCTTATTAGTTGATTTCTGTCTAGTTAATTTAATTTCTATAGTAATTCAATAATTTAATTATTTCATTTGTTCATCTTACTAAGAAAAATTGTTTCAAATATGTTAAACTTTTCAAACTATGCGAAGCATAAAATAGTTATTAAAAAAATTAACTTTTTTATTTATAAAATAATTTAGCTTAAAACTAAAAGTTGCGTTAGTTTTATTAGAATCATGTTAGACTTTTCGGGGCCTGGGGCTATTTTTATTTTGGAGGCTTTTTTATGTGCCACAGCAAAAATGACCATAAAAAAGGTCTTCTTGACTTTTTCGATGCCACTAACATTGCAAGGCCCGGGGCTATAGACCTCTCTAACCCCAATTCTCCTTAATCTAGCACTGGAAATAAGACACAAGTATATAAACAAAAATTATATAACACTCTTTGTTAAATAAAGAACATTTGTTTCCTTTTTAAACAATCGAAAGATGTTACTAGTGATCCTCAAGGGAATTCCGGGAACGGTAATTCCCGGAAAAATAAATTGAATTGTCATCGGGTTTTGAGCTATCTTGAAAGTTTCAGAGCTCTAGCTGGTCGGGAAGTGGGTTAAATATCGCTTCAAAGATTCTAACCAGACGGATAGACAGATACACAAGAAAGCAACCTTATAAAAAGGTTGTAAAAACGCGCAAAATTAATTAGTAATTAGTTATTCAATATTTTTTAAAGTGTAAAGTGCATTGTGCAAGTTTTTTTAAAAGAAAGTGAAAAAGTTATTTTCGACAAATTATCAAAGATAAATATAGTACATATTATGTTATTTCTTTTTCTAAATTTTTTTCTTTTTTTTTTATTACTTTTATTTTCATATCTTATCATTTAATTTTAAATAGCATGTCTTTTGTGCTTTTGTGAGGAAGCACTTCAAAAGGGAAACGGGCAACAAAGATAAAGCACACGGTGACATAGACCTGGGCAATCGAAAGAGCTGTTCTCAATTGTGCTGGAGGTTCAATGAAGGGTTTGATAGAACATCTAAAGCGTGTTCATCAGATACTTGATCCATTGAAACCTGGACCGACAACTAGCAACCAAAGTCAACCAAGCACAAGCAGCACTGACAATCCTCCATTAAAGAGGCAAAAGCTGATGACAGATTTCACTAGAGCATCGTTTGAGGAAGCCATTTCTAAAGAAGTTGCTTTAAATGGATTGAACTTTGAACAGATCGTCAACTCAGATATAATAGCAGAGCATGTGAAAGAGAAGTTTCCAATGAAAAACTTCCCAAAGAATGGATCTAATGTTACAAAGATTGTTCGAGGTTTTCATGAAGACATCAAGGCTAAAATAAAATTGTGAATTCAAACTCATCTAGCTGAAGGACATTTCTTTTCAACAACCCTTGATGTATTCTACTGCAGGGTAACGTTTCTTGAACATTAATCTTCATTATTTTGAAAACGGTGTTGATAAATAAATCAATTTGGGCATGGTTTCAATTTATGGAAGTGCAACTGCTCTTAACATCAAAAAACTAGTAAGTTGATATTATAATCTTTTTTTTTTTTTAGGTTTCTAATCATTTTATTTTTTATTTTTTTTATTAACAGTTTGAAGTAAGATTGATGGAATTTGGCTTGGATCTAGAAAATCACATTGTTTGCACTTCTGGTGATGGTGCAAGCACTATGGTATCATCTGGTTCTATGATCGCATCAGAATACGTCCAGTGCAGCGATCAAGGAATTCATCTGGGTGTTACTAAAGTTCTTTATCTAAAGAAACAGTCAGCAGATGCTCCAGTGGATGACGACGATGATGTCTTTTTCGTTGAGTGTGGAAATGAAGATAAACCTGATGAAGATGAACCTGATGAAGATGTACCTGATGCCGGCGAGGACACGAGAATCAGATGAT